CAATGCCACGTAGATGAGACGGGATGTGAACAAGAGTCGTCTCAAGAGCTTGGATGCCGTGATGAGGGGTTCAGCCAGTCGCAGTCAACAGAGATGAGATGTTTGGTAGGATCTGGTCGCCAAGGAAGCTTCGGTGCCCCTTTTCGCAGCGTGTCGATTGTGCGAAATGGGAAGCTGTGGCCAGGATTGGTCTTGCAAACAGGCGTGGATTCACCTACTCGTGTATGATATTGATGCACGCCATCATCTAGGCAGGGTCAATGGAGAGGTTGATGATTCTTCGGCTATCTAGTAGTGAACATCACTGATTATGTCATCACACCCACTGGCTGACTGAGGTCGGCTAGCACTGGCACATACATTAGGTAAAACACCTAGCCAAAACAGCCAGTCTCTTTTTGCAACATGCACGCCTTATAGAATTGTCCTGATTACAACTGCCCGACCTTTTTTTACTTTTGATAATTTCCGAGTATATGATGCAGGCGGGCTATGCTTGCTCTCACGCTCCCGAAACCTTGTTGTTAACGTCTGTCGCGGGGTTGACGGGATAGTACCCTTACCTAGTCTTGCTTGGGCATTGGCGAAGACCTCTTACATGGTACTCGTCGCTGGCGACCGGGCAGCGCGCAAGCAGAAGTCGTGTATGATAAGACGCGTCCCTGGATGGCCTGGGTTCGGTACTAAGTCGGCCAAGATTGCCAGGTAGAGGAGACCAAATTTCCTCTCTTCTTCGAGCGGAGAGAAAAACAGAAGATGATTCTTCTTCGCCACTCTCGACCCACGACTCCCTTCGTGACCCTCGGCCACACCCATCCCAATCCTGTGATTTCTGACACCAACGATACCGGCCTATTCAATTGAGGCATCAGTACATCTCCGCGACTTCTTTGGCAGAGGACCAGTAGCATTGAGACCGATTGCAAGATTATCTCGATGGGCCACAACCTCTCAGTATGTCTTTTTTGATTGTAATACTACATTGCACGGGATTCGAACCCGTTCCCTGGTACCATCATCTTGATCACGCAGGACAAAGATATCAGGACCGTCAGCTACCGAAGCACAAACGCCCGGGGTGCTTTTAGACCGAAGTCTAAGGCTTTGCCCATGGGAAAAAGGAGGCCAAATGGAAGGGGATCTTGCTGCCCTGAATGCCAGACACAGCAGATAGGCTATCCCACCTAGCTCTAGAATCCTGGTGTAGCTTGGAAGTGAACAAAGACCCGGGACAGTATCATTCTATCATAATGTCGTTCTCTATAACCTCATATCGGAAGGTTGATTGAGCCGTTGTGGGAGCGGTTCAAGTTTTTTTTTGGAGAGGGGGGTGGGCAATGCCTGTCAAACTGGTGGTAGCAAGAAGGCGTCGAGGATACAACCCTAACAGTGGAGTCTGAGGAATAGCGGGCCATGGTCTAAAAGCGGTTAGATCAAGAGGTGATCACCAATCACAAAGCGCTTTTGCTCTCTGTGGGAGCCATGAAGGGACATCATGCAGTAGCGCACTATCTTAGTGGAAGGTGCCTTCCTTCCCTCTGCCTGCCTGCCTGCCTACCTGCCGCAAAGCTTCCCTCAACTGCCTTGATCTTACCCTGCTTCCATTTCATCCTTCTCTATTAATACCTTACTTCCACAACACGTCCTGCACTCCGAAATTACATTCCCTTGAAAATTCCAACTACAAGCCAAAGCAATCAAAGACAACCATCCGAAAGAGAAGTAAGCATTGAACTTTCAATGCTCTTATTGACGATGACCATTATGACATCTATCTAATTAGAATGGCCACCCTCGGAGACAACCACTTCGATCAAACTTTCCAAAACAGCATCTTGTCCCTTCGCGAGAGAAGAGGACTTCTGACATTGATGAACATTGATTTCACCGTTCGTCGCGATGCAGTAGAGACAAAGGTCCGGTCTCTGGGCCTCATACCTGCGGCTCCTGACGATATCGTCTTCTTCTGGCCGCCTGAAAGATGTGTTTCGCAGCGAGCGCCAAGGCACATGGGACAACTCTACGTGGGGTTCGCAACCAGGCCTGACTGTACCGCGGCACTCGAAGCACTCGGACCCCGGTTTGACCTTTCCGGCCGAATGGTTACCGTGGAGAGATCAAAAACAATAAGGGGTATAAGTATGCATTAACCTCATTGTCTCTTATTTATGCTAAGGAATCCACAGCGTCGACCGCTGGTTCAAGCTGCCGTGACTACCGACGCTGCTGCTACCGCTGCCGCCACCACCGCTGCTGCTTCCAACGCTGCCATTGCTGCTGCCAACCCTGGTAACTTACGGACACTACTACGACTGATCTACCCATTCCACTGGCGCATGACGTTGACAAGATCCCATCCCACTGGGAGAAGGAAGAGAGCGGACGGCCTAACGAGAATGTCAATCCTGCATCCGAAGTACTTAACCCTGATATGCCTGACCCTCGGCAGCACGATTGAACGATGGCGGCATAACCTTTAACTTGCTTCCCTCAAGGGGTAATACCCTTCTTCACTCCTCTACGGTGGGTTGCCCCTATTCTCCATTATGGACTGCAACCTTAGACTTCGGTCTTAAAGGTCGCTTTGGTAGCTCTGCGGAGTGTGAGTTCGATTCCCATAGCGATCATGGAAGTTTTAAATACCTTCTTCTTTAATGGGTCAGACTACCGAGCCTCAGCCTGAAAGATTGCTTAGTAACTCTGCGGAGTATGGGTTGGATCAATAGCAATCACTAAAGAAACAGCAGGACACATACACAGCCATCGGGCAGTAGAGTTCTGACACTTTTTGATAACATGACTCAGAGATAATTACTCACTAGGGAGACGTATTCAGGAGACACGTTGTCTCCGCCTTCAAATCTTCGGCTGCGACGTGCTTAACGAAAGCAGTGAATAGCTTGGGGTACGGTTCAAATCGACCGCCGGAAATGACTCATGAACTTACAACATAAGGCTCTTTCCAAAGCATTCAGGCAGGCAGTCGTCATTGCTGAGGAAAAACACACCTCGACGCTGCATATGTTCCAACACCCAAGAACTTTGAGCAGTGTCGAGCCTGGCGAGATTCGATGTCGATAAGAGCTCGGCAGGGGACTAGCAAAGAATTCACACTAACTCTTCAACGGCACCTTATTTAGACATCCTCGAGGCACCTCTCTGACATCAACCCGTTTTTCTCAACGACATGTCTGGCCATGTCAGCCATCGAAGTTTGACCAGCCCGTCCGAATGTTCGATACTTGTTCCCGATTGGCGTAAGTGTTGTCTTGGTTTTTTTCATTACACGTTCCCTCACATGCTCTGGGAGCAGATCGAGATGGAGCGTATGTCTCGTAGAACCGATGCTGTGCAGACGAGAGCCGCCGGTCATCCACTTGGGCAAGTGGATCAAACAAGCACAGCTGACTCCATTATTCTGGTTGATGAAATCACTCTTTTGCTGCGGCGAATCGATCATCTTCAATTTGGCCTTCGTCTAAAAACTGTCCTCGAAATATGACTCGAAGGCGTCGGCGGAGGGATCTGCGGGCTTGTTGAATATGCCGTGGTAGGATAATCGAGTAGAGACGAGTAGTGGGGATGGCAAAGCTCTGGCAAGGCAAACAACGCACACGTGAACGACGAAGACTGAGAGAAGTGAATCAGACCCTGATATTCTCGCCATAAATCGCCAAGCTGGCGTAACTAGTACATAAAAATAACGAAAAACATTTCGTTGGGCCAAATCTCGTCTAGCTGTAATTCCGCTACCGGATCCGGTCTCTCAACAGCGCCAGAGTTATACAATCTTCATCTTCACATCAGTAGCTAAGTCAGGCCGGAGAGAGGATGTTATCTATTCTACGTCTAGGCCTAGCATTATATGAACGGCACTCAATCTCCAAGTAATACCAATACCAGGAATGATCCCAGGTGAACACACATGTGATTGCCCTGCCAACCGAAACCAACGGTCGCCAGCAAAGGCGCCTAGTCTAACGAGCAGTGGCTTAGACCATGGCTTCTCACCTCTGACAGTCGGCGATTGAATGCGAGAAGATCAAGACCATACTTAACCACCAAGTCCGAAATCAATTGAACCATGGGGCTATATTCTCATCTCAACCTGACCTAAAGAAACATAGCACAGCCCCGAGGCTGAAGCCTGATTCAGGCGGTGGTCTTGTCTAATGAGAAAGTGTGAGAGAGGACTAGTGCAGCATGCCTTCGTCTTGAGCTAGTCCACGCTGGACCAAGGGCGTCAGACTCACACGCCGGATAGGCCCCGATCAACACGCTAATGACGGGAGACCCGACTTCCAACGGCAAGGTCTGATGCTTATAGCACCCTCGGTTCCAGGAAGGATCCGATCTTCACCTTCGGCGCCCTCTTGGGTACGTCGCGAAGAAACCGGAATCCACTGGCCCATTTATCAAAGTTCGTCATGTGTTCTTCGAGAAGAAGCTGGATTTAGGCAACAGTATTGCCGCAGCTTTCAGATGTACAGAGTAATACAGACTTGCATGGCAGCCGCCAATATATCATTCGAGTATTGTTTATTTGGCGGCGCTTGAAGCGAGTCTTTGTAGCTTCGAATATGGCCACACTCCTCCGCACATAGGTTACTTCTCGGGGGTTGGATAATGTGCTGTTCCTCGGATGTCCAATGTTTCTTGCCCAATAACACTTTGTCCCCCGCTTCTACTTTTCTGCTAGGTATGTCTTTGTCTCCACGCTACCTCCGCCATTCTAAGCTTGCTCACCCTTGGTACACCAGTTCTAGTGGCGTTCTTCCCTTTTCTTTCTGCCCACGCTAAACGTATTCTTGTTTTTCAGCTTTGGCAAGCCACAGTCGTCTATCTCTGTTACGATTGGCCTGGTTGAACCCAATATGCCTGACTAGCCAATCCTCCCAGAAAACTAAGCTCATTAGCTAGTCTAGGGCTGAGCAATTTGCGGATCTGCTGTTGAAGTCAACCCAAGCCTGAACCGGTCCCGGGCGGTGCTTACACCTCACGGCTCTCTATCAAGACGGCTCGTACCTTGAACCAGTGCCCCGAGAGCACCCTTTGTGGGACAACAACGATGGGAACAGATGCGCGAACACAACGAGGGCTAGGTTTATAAACATGGCGCTCAGCCCATTCGCTCTACGAGCTGTTTCCCACGTCTCTTCCTGTCCTGTTTGGTCTCTCTCGGATTGACGGCGCACATTACTGTTATCCAAGTACTCACCAGTCTCAGTGAGACTGCTCAAAGGTCGAACAACATGGTGAACACATTTCGGTCCATCGCTGGCTTGGCGGCTCTCTCAAGCTTTGCCAGCGCCAAGCTCTACGAACTCCCTCAAGCCACCACTTCGTTCAACTTTCCCCTCGACCAATTCAGCCCTCAGCCGACCAAAGCCCCGGCGTACGCTGACTTGAGAAAAAGGCAATCATCGACGACGACCACCGTGCTCGTTGCGCCAGACAACACTTGCGGTTACATCTCTGGGCGTGCTGGTGCGGCGTACACCTGCGGAACCGCCGCCAGCTGCATTTTCTTCACATCGGTGAACGGAAACACCCCCGGGCGAGTTGCCTGTTGCGACGCCAGCGACTGTGGCGCCCGCCGGACATGCTACGATTCTAAACAGGTCTCATCGTCGAGTCTCTGCGATGGTGGCTGCCTTGTTGATCGCTTCACCTTGAAGTGGTATGTATGCCCTTGAAGATGATTCTCTCTCCTGACACCCCTCGTATTCCAGAAAGACTAACACGATATCTAGCACCAACACGGCCCGGCCATACTGCAATACCATTTCGTTTGCGGATGGCATCTTTGACTATTGGTGCAACACGGCAGAGATATCAACCCCGCAAGCCGCGACGACCACCTATGAGGGCGGGCCGGCGCGCAACTGGACGCCATTGGCGCTGACAGACGACACCTCGTCCAGCAGCGTCATCCGGCCAGCCAGCTCCGGAGTTATCACAGGAACCGCTAGCGGCTCGGTGTCCGCGCCCTCGATAACCACGTCTCCCGACAATGACAACAACGGCGGCATCAACAATAACAACAATAACAACAAATCTTCGACCCCCGTAGGTGCCATCGTCGGAGGCGTCGTCGGCGGCATCGCCGTCATCGCCCTCATCGCCTTTGGAATCTTCTTCATTCTCCGCAAGAAGAAGAAGACGCAGCAACCCGGACCCGGACCTCACGGCCAGCCTCCCATGATGACCCAGCAGCAGCAGCCACCTCCAATGGGCTACGCCCCAGCACCTCAGGGCTCGCCGGCACAGTACGCCGGCCAAACGCAGACGCATTCCTACTACGAGACAAAGTACGACGGCCAGGGCGGATACCCGCAGCAGAACTACGGCGGCACGCCCCCTCCTCCTCCCGGTCAACAGGGAGGCGGCTACCAGCAACCCTACTACAACGGCAACATGGCGGTACCCGACCGCGCGGACACGACGAGTCCCAGTGCCATGTCCCAGGCGACACACAGCAACCGCCTCAGCACGCAACCCGTCAGCCCGAATCATCCGCAAGGCGGGTTCCAGCAGTTTGGCGGTGGTGGTGGGCAGCCGCAGCCGACGATTCACGAGGCGCCTGCGAATGGTGATGGGCACAAGGGGCAGATGCATGAGCTTGCTTAGTTGCAGCTACAATGCTTCTGTCAATCTTGATCGTTGATGTTACGACATGAGACTTTTGTGGATTCTGTGTATACTTTTGTGTTTTACTAGGGAATGTTTCCTCTTGGAAGCGGTAAGGTGGTTCACTACACAGAGAGTGAAGAAACTATGGGGTTGCCTGACCTAGGCTAATTTGGTGTATTGGTGTTGTATTAGACTTGGACTTAATGATTTATATTCTAACGAAGGTTGATGTTTTATAAGGAGATACATGTACGAACTTGTGGGTTTCTTACAGGGAGATATGAGCCTCTTGGAAGGTTGAATCTTCCTCTGTCTTCCATCGTTTGCGAGCATGATTCTGAGAGGTATTGAAAAGAATCGATTCATCCACCCTCATGTAGCTGAAGTGACGTTCCACCATGGCTCACAAAGTTCCAGAAGGTGTAAAGAGTGTACTCGACACGCAGCAAGCACAGCAGATACAGCAGGACCGTGTGACGCGTATGGACCAATATAAGGAGGGTATCAAGTAGGTGACAAAAAGGAGTTCCATCCAACAACAAGTGTTCCACCTAACCACTATCTTGTCGCGGATGGCAGCGGTCCAAGAAGTGCCGAGAACACCATTCTTGTCCGAATTGGACCTTTTGTTCGAATCTTTGCCGCGTATGCAAGAAGACATGGCAGGCGCTCAACAGAATCAAGGGGTCTGAGCTATTGCAAGCAAAGCATGCCTTGGCGAGGTCTGAGGCTTGTTCATACCCCTCTGGCCGAAAGAAAGACAGACTTACGCCGACTGCGTAGAAGCGCGATGTCGATGATGTGCCCTGTGCCGCTCAATGAGTACCTTTTATCTCTATTCTAATCGTCACTACTACCTCTCTAAACACCACTGCCTCTAGTAACACTATCACTGCCATCAATACCACTACTGCTTTTAAAGGTAGCCTGGTCTCTCTGGAATGTATTCTTTACAGAATATACTCTGAGAGACTTTAGTAGGGGATGATGACAAATAATGTTACCGCATAGTGTTCTAGTGGATGATAGCCACGAAAGGGTCGTGTTCGACATGTCTAGACCGAGGCAGTATCTGCACCTTTGCACAGCAATCAAGCCGGGATGGCTCATTGATCTCCCGTACTTCCAGGAAAACTGATTGCCAAAGAGGGGATATGGACGGTATATATACGTAAATGTGAAGAAGCTTCCTCGATCGCGCGAGAAGCAGTCTTGGGCTTGGATGTACCAACTAGTCTTCTTTCCTCTACATCTTTTCCCTTACAGGGGTCCAACGTCAACCCCTTCACGTCTCTATCTACACAGGGGTAACAACCCTTCTTCTCTCCTCCAGATAGAGAAAACCCGCAACCCGGACACCAACGCTAATAATCAATCAGCCGCAGCTTCTTTCCAATCTCCCTCCGCCGCGCCTGTACCGCCGCGCGCTCAGAGGGCTTCGTCTCCCCGGGGTCCATGTTCTCCCCACGAGCCTTCAACGCTTGGAGAAGCATGCCTGCGTCAAAGAAGCCGTCTAATGTTTCGTATTAGCAAGAAAGCCATTTCATCAGGGGAAATTTTCCCGTCAAGATAAAGGAAAACGGAAAGGAAAAAAAAAAAAAAGACTTACATCCGCCAAGCTCATCATCCTCGCTAAGCGTGACACTCTCCTCCGTAGGCGACTGCGTACCCGTCGAAGATCTCGCGACAGACGGCTTGATAGCGTCGTGCGCGGTGATGAGGCGGCCGCGCGACTTGATCCCCTTGGGCGGCTTCGGCCTCGCCTGTAGATCCAGCTCGCGCGCGCGGGTCTGCTTGGCGGCACCCATGCCCGCGCCACCGGTGCCGCGGCGGGATGTGATGCGGAGAATCCGCCGCACCTCAAGGAGATAACTCTCGAGCGTGTCGACAAAGCGCTTGGTCTGGCGGTGCTTGCTCGACACGCAGATGGAGATACCCTCGTCCTTGATGATGTACCCGATACCGAAGCCGTCGCCCGACGTGGGGCCAAAGCCGAATTGGCGCAGGGACGGGTTACCGCAGTTGGACGTCGACATGATTGTATTGTTGAGCTTGTCCCACCCGGAGTCGGCGAAGATCTGCGGCATCGCGGCCTGGTTGTTGCCGTTGCGCGAGTTGGTACTGTCGCCGCGGGCGCGGCCGGTGGAGGAGGACTGTAGCTCTGCGCCGTTGAGGGAGAGGACTGAGTCCCGGCCGGGGCTACCGACGGCGGACTCGCTGACGTCCTGCTCAGAGAGAGCGTCGATGGGGCTTGAATAGCCGTTGGAGCTGCCAGAGAGCTCGTCGTCCATGGAGCGCTGCCAGGTGCAGAAGAGGGCGTAGAGGTGGCGGTCGCAGCCCTCTGCTTTGGCGCACTCGCGGGTGCTGTTGACGTGTCGTTGGCACGCCTTTCGCAGGGCCTCGACCTTGTGCTCGGCTGGGTTGTCGGCCCAAAACGTCTGGACAAAGTTGACTGATTCGTCTGAGACGCTGCGGATGGCCTCGGTGCGGCCGTGGAGGAAAATCTTGGTCATGGCGGGTTCGTAGGTGCACTCAACGCGGCCGTAGAGCCCGTAGTAGGCGGCTTGGAAAGCCATCTGCACAAAGGCGTCGGGGGAGAAGCCCATGGAAGTCATAAAGTTCTTGCCGTAGTGCTTGAAGTCGAGCGTCTTGAATTCGTTCTGCTCAATGAGGTCGGCGAGGCGGGTCTCGGCGAAGCGGACGGCGACGCTGAGCTCCGGGTTCATGTCCCACTCGAGCTTGTGCGGTGTCGTATTGACCTCGCCGAAGCTGTCCGGATCGCGCTTCGCCGGGTCTGGGCTGGTGGAGGCCCAGAGAGTCGGAGCCTGGCCGTTGATGGTCCGGGCAAAGCGGAGGATGGTGTCCGTGTACACGTCGCTGGCGAACCGCAGGACCGTGTGGCCGTCGACGCCGGTGTGCTCAAAGTTGATTCCTGCACTGCCGTTTTTGCATACAATAATTTGCAGTTTGTCGTACCATCTGTTGGTGCAGGTTCCGATTTGCACACCCTTCTCGACCAAGCTGGTACCGCACAACATGTTACCACAAAGAGCGTCGGCGTCAACCGGCTCGGTGTAGTCAAGACACAGAACGAAAAGGGCCGAGTCGACAATCCCCAGACAATCGGCGTTGTTTGAACCCTCCTCCCGGGTCAGGACATCTCTCAGTCCCGACCAGATCTTCCGGTTTTCCGTGCTGAGGACACCCAGGGCCCCCTTGGCCGCATCCTGAATCGGCGTCTGGGCAGCATCGTCGATGATGGTCTGCAGGTTGATGGATACATCTTTCTCGCTCATAATGAGGTCATGGTTGTCGTCCAAAACGTCAAACCAGTAGAATTGGCCATGGCACATGACAATGATGTGTTTCGACTCCGGGTCCTGCTCGATTTGGCATCCATTTTCCGTGGGTACACGTGCTGTTCCGAAGAGCCTAGAGTATTGGTACATGCAAAGAGGCTGACCCTTGACCGTGTCTGGAGGCAATTCCTCCTTGCGAACTGCTCTCACAAATTCAAGGGCCGACACCACGAGCGATGCCGCTCGGGTCACTTGGTTGTTTCTTGCAGGAGTGGGATCATCTTCTAGGAGGAAAAACGGGTTGAGGTTGAGAACAACCGGATTATCAAAGTTTAAGTATGAATCATACCCTTACACAAAGTGGCTTGTTAGTCAAGATTGAGACGAGGGATATAGATGTGCTTACAAAACTGTTCAATATAACTCGTCTTGTCCTGGGCGTACGTCTTTAGCTTGTCCTGTAGAGCCGGGCCATCGTGCTTCAGGAAGTCCTGTAGCGCCTGCTTGGTCTCTGAATGTTCTCGTGCAGACTGTAACGGCTTGAGGGCAGTGAGATACTTTTGTGCTGTGGTTTCCAACTCGGGGATGGGCAGGTGCTTGAGCTTCTCCTGGGCAGCGAATGTGACACCGCCCTCGACGGACTTGTCTTTGTACACTGCCATAGAGCGAGTGGTCTCTGTGCTCTGCTTCGGTTTTGACGGCTCGACTTGCTTCCAAAGATCTGAGGTGTCTGGGATGGAACGAGGAACCGAGGATGGAGGAATAGCCTTTTCGAGAGTCTCACCGAGTGGCCTAGGTCGCGAAAAGATTCTGACTTGAGTGGGCATGGTTGTTAGCGGAGGGTGACTCCTTTTCTTATGCGTAGAGAGGCGAGACGTTGGTGCTGATGTTTAATCCGCGCAGCGCCGTGCGGTAGAAGTAGTGGCAGTCTTGGAAGAAAATTGGTAGCATTACACTAGATGTTGATATAACATCTGGACGACTATGGGCAGTGTAGTAAGGGGGGGAAGGGAAGAGGGAAAAGAGGAGACAGCTCGGCTACAGGAAGGGAAATGGACTAGGGATATATCGACGGGCCTAAGGAAGTTCGGAGGAGAGAGAGGGAGAGGCTGACAAGGTGAAGTCAGGGTGGTAGGCACTAGCATACTCAGAACGGCGCATCTGTAAGGCGGATGAAATAGGTACGAAGTACAGACGAGATGGGATCAAGTGGAACCCCCCACAAAGACGACTGGGATGGGGCTGGCGTGCAAATACCAGTTCACTCTGGGGTCCCGGGGTCTCATCTCGAGGAACAGGACGCCCTTTCACATGTGGAACAGAGGTCTCGAGTGATGGCACCGCAGGGCCGGAAGCAAGCGCTTAATTGGGCTGGCGGAAGACAGGAAACGGAGAGGGGACGGGCACTTCGGGAAATCCGCGCTGGCTAGGTCAGGCCCTGGGAAGCAGAGGGGAGCTTGGCTTGTGAAACTCGCTCCGCAGGCCCGACGCGAAATGATAATATGGGTGCGGCCAGTTTCGTAATCTGCCGAGACTTTATGGATAAAAGACTAAGCCAGACAGGGGAGAGGAAAGCAATGTCACCTACCGGCGCAGTCGAACCAGTTGTTTGCGGCCGCTGGTTATCTTTTTAGATGAAGATGTTGGACGTAGTTGGGGCAGAGAATGCGGGTGAGGCTGATGACTTGTCAAGTTGATGTTCGCTTCTATACAAGTATCTTGGTTAGAAACGGTTGGGCTTTTGGTCAAGACATTCTGCCTAGTCGTCCCCGGTGAAGCCATCTGTCAGATGGACCTAGCTAGCACGAGGACAAGTAGAGACAGAGAGGCACAGGGCAGTATGGGCACCTGTCACTCACCTTGTTCCACTAGACACACAATCAGATTGTCAATGGTGTCCACAGGCTACTCTAAGTGACTGGGTCGACCACGAGAAGCGAAGAGGTGTCGATACAGGATGGCGGGGATGCAGGAAATAGAATTCGAGGACTAGTTCCGGGATGCGACTCGACGTTACTGGGAGTGAACGGGTTGTCGGCTACGATGAAGGCGGCGGCGGTGCAGAGTGAGGGAAAGAAGAGAGTGTGAGCGTGGGCGTGTGCGGGTGGGTGAGAGGATGACTGA